CGCATTCCGCAGACCAAATGGCATTTGTATGAATTCGAAAAGACCAAAAGGTGCAGTGATGGCTGTCTTGGGTATATCTGCTGGTTCAACCGGAATTTGATGGTATGCCCGTACAAGGTCTAATTTAGAGAACACTGTAGTGCCATGGAGAGATGTTGTGAAATCTTGTATATGGGGTATGGGATACCGATCAGGAACCGTGACTCTATTAAGGGCACGATAATCTCCACAAGGACGCCAGTCACCCGATTTCTTTGGGACCATACACGCCCAAGAGTTGAAACATGGACCAGTCCTGATTCAGGCCCGAATCATAGCTGATAGACTATACTGGACCGAGGATTTGGGGCAATGTCCTGTTCTGATACTGATGAATCAGTCACGATCGACACCAAGAGTCAGGCATGACCCGCTAACGATAACAATATTCATGATTGTTCATTTTGACGTTCATCGTGTTCTCTAATTATATTAATTATTCATTGTTCCATTTTTTAATCGCTTTTTTTTCTGCTTAAAAATTATTATTATTAAAAAAATTATTCTTAAAAATAACAGTAAAATCTAACTGTTGTTCATACAATATATGTTGCAACAAAATAATTAATTGGAAAAATCATGCCTATATGTGAAAAAATCAGAAGAGAAAGAGCATAAAGACGAGCCAATGTGTGCAACAGAAATGGGGGAATGTAAATAAGATGTAGCAATGAAAAATACATTATTGGTAAGGATTAAAATTGGACAATCAAATTCTGTTACAGATACAGTACCATCACTATTATACTGAGTCTGTAGCTCTCTAATCATACAAACATCAGAACTGCTTTCACCATTATGATCTATCAATCTTCCACAAGCAATTAGCACTCCAGTAGTCACCTTTAAAACAATATAGATAAAATTTAATACAAAATGATACTTAGCACTTACAATAGAAGAACTAATCTTTATAAAATCACCAACATCAAGTAATTGCATTGTTTTACTCATCACTGCTGAGTATGGTAGAATATTCATCTCTAATGTGACATCATCAGGCATGTTATGAAGTGTACAAGTCCTTAACAGTTCTCTCAAAGATATTTGATCGCATATGATGTCTAGGATCTTGAAGGTACAGTTCCATGATGTAGCTGTTATAAAGCATATTAAATGCAAATGATTAAGTACATACTTTCCGTAAACAACCAGGTTGATATATATCTTTATCACTTTGAGTTTTTTTAATAGAAACTCCTCTTAGAAACTGCTGGACTTGAGTAGAAAGATAAATACTATAAAGCTGTTCACCACATCTACAAACCATCAAGTAAAATGTATCTGTTTAAAATGAAAAGGGGTTACTTACTGTTTTCCTTCAAAGTAGCCTCTTGAACAAATAAAGGTCAGGTGCTGCTGTACTGCAAAGTTGGTAGCAATATCTCTACTAGGGGACTGACGATTACCAAAAATGTTTTGAGCTCTAACTAGTGAATTATAAGATTCATATCTATTTAAATGAATGGAAATGGATTATAAATAAACTATTATCATACCTTTCTGTATTGTAGCATTGTGTAGGTCCAAAATCTAATATATTATCAACTAAGTGCAGAACCAAATGTGTCTTTAGCCTTTTTGCATATGATGGCATATAGTCCACTGAAACTCTCACAAATTCTGAACAAACATTCTTCCAATAGGCAGTATCACTAGCAGAAAAAGAAATGCAATAGCACAGACGGAATACCTATAGTTAAATAAATGCAACTAAATATGTTATTGAGCCACTGACTTTAGCTAACAAAAACCAACATTTCTTCTCAGACACCGTAAAGTATGGATGCAATACAAACAGAGCCATCTGCATTAATGCCTTGAAATCTCTTCCAACAAAGGATTTGAAATAAGATATGCTGCTTGAAATCCTACAATTCATTCCACAAGTAGAAAAGGCTTTAATTCTGGCCATAATCTCCTTTTTTTCCTTAGCTGATCTATGGTCCATAAATTCCCGAACCATGTACTTACAACACCCTAAGAGTATAGTGTGTAGGGCTTCAACAGGAGTAGACCTAAACATTATGCTATCAGTGAATTATTATTGTGCGCAAATACTAACTTGTACAAGTCAACAGAGAGTTCAAATAATGGGTTATGCATCTCACGTAAACCATATGATGTTCTCAACATCTTCTTTCCCTTCTCAGTTTGCTCTGACACAATATTTGCTATGCATTCCTCTGCTTTACTTTTACATCTATGATCTCCACACATACTTCCATCTGATGTCTAAACAATGAATGACTGATAATATCATTTTGGAATTGATTTTATAGCTTACATCACAAATCCTGCAAAGTTTCTTTGCTGTACTTCCAAGATGATTGAGAAGTTCCGAGGCTCTAGCATTATCACATAAGAGGCAAATTACAGGAGCAATAACAAGTACTTCTTCTTGCCATACACAGTCAAAAACTCTAATGCCTTTCTCAAGAGATTTAAGATCATCAATAAATGACTCAGAAATTGGTATAGCAGTAGTACGATTAGAACAGGCAACAAAAAAAATGTTGGTAGTATCATGAGCTTTTTCCGTTGGAAGACAAGCTAGGGACGTCCACCATACATCAAACTTATTCCATTTCTTGGTTCTGTTTTCACTAGTATCATCAGAATACAAAAACAATGGAGCAATTACAACAGGAATACCAACTGATTTCAAGGGATGTGGAGTGGTAAGAACTGTGTAATCCTAAACAAATAAAATTGTTTTCTTTGCATAATAACTTAAAAACACAAACCTAACTACTTATAGGTTGAAGAGTTTTAGATGATTTACAAAGTTTGAGCAGATAGTGAGAGAGGGGCGGACATGAAAGCATCTGTATGCTGGAAAGTGCAATTTCACAACTGCTGCAGATGATATAAGTATCTGAGTCAGGAGGGTAGTGAAAAGCAACATCTGGAAACATTTGCCACATTTGATCAGTAGTTAAAATTAGCTGAACAGAAACAAATGTAGTGTCTTCATTCTCCTGTTAATGTGAAATAAATGTACATGTAAGTTGTGTATGAATTTCATAATAGCTAACTTTTTGATAAATAGCAAGCACTTGGCCCAATGTAGTACCACATGATTGATGAGAGAAAGTAACAAAATCATTTAAAAAGATATGCTGTCCAGCTGCAATCACCATTGGACATTGATATTGAGTGTGCTTCCTGTTTCCATGATATATTTCCCTGCAACATTAATAAAAATGAAATTGAAAGAAAAGTCACAAAACAAAAACCTACGTAAGAAAATCCTTTGCAACTATAGGCATACGAACAATGTGTTGGCAAATTAAAGGGTTAGCGAAGCAGTTTCGAACAAATGTTGAAGGTAAATTAACAAAAACATCAGTGCCACTTGAAGTAGTAAACTAAGTCAATAAAAATACAATATCACATATATACATGTGCATTGTGCTTAAAACAACCTTCACAGGAGGTTTAAAACAAGGAAGCTGATAATCCTTCAGCTGATCAAGTCTAGGAGTGGCAGGATTCAACTTCTTACACAGAAACAGAACAAACTTCAAATTATTTTCTCCCTAAAAGTAACAATTGTGTACTTTAGTATCATATACATAGCTACCAGTGGTCTTGGTGAATGAACAAGCATAAACAGAAGTGCATGAGTGACACTATCAAAGGGATAATAATTCCCAATATCACCAGTTTCTGACAAATCTATAATATCCTGAATATCTTATTAAGAAATCAATAAACTACAGGCAAAAAATTTACCTGAAGTAACACTATCACAATAATTATCTTCAATGTTATCAAAGAAGCACTCCTCACTGACAGTTATTAAACTCATCTAAGGCACCCAGTCAATAAATTGTTCAGTAATTAAGGCTTAATAATGATAAGAGTAAGAAGTATCTCAGGTTCCTGATTGCTATCCTCCTCTTCAGTAGTACTGGTCTCAAACTGCGTCATATTGCTCAAACTGACATCAATAATATTTACTACATCAGTATCTAGTGCTTGAGCATTACCAGGCCCTGATGCAGATGGATTTGCTTCAAGTATGGTTGCTAGAGTCTGATGATGTTGGCACCTCAAATGTCTTTCATACTTTGACTTAAATTCGAATTTCAAATCACATGTTTCACAGTAAAAGCCTTCAAAAAGGTAAAAATTAGTGTAAACAATGGTGGTAATTATGTTTTTATAAGATAATAATAACTTACATGATAAAGAAGCCATTTTCACCTCGTTTCACTTACGCATGCGCACAACCAAGACGCGCGATAGTCCTGACAAAATTAACATGGCTTCTAATTCTGGTGCAACTACTGGATCCTCTCAAATAAATCCAGCAGTAAAGAATCATCCCCTTTTTGGAATAGTAGATTTTACAGCCAGGAAGGTACAAGGCATTACTACTGAAATAGAAAAATTGAATAGGAGGGTAAGTGCCATGGAAGAGGGAATTAAGGGAGTAGTAGAACTACAAAAAGAGCTCAAGGAACTAATTGAGCAGCATAGAGCATCAACATTCTCCATTGAAAGAACACAACATCAGGTGAAGATGCCTTTTTATAACAATAACATTTTTGCAATAAAACATAAAGTAGTGGACTCAGTGGCATGCCATGCTGATTAATTTGAACTTAGTCACCATGCAGCATTAGTCTTAAATAATTACATGTTACATTTTACCCAGTCAGTTTTATTTATCAAGCTATGTAACTCTACTATGTAGATTCCTCTTCGCATAGCAACTGCAAACTTATACTGCAATGATTTATTCAGAAATCCATCAGCAGATAGTGTTAATGTGAGTTAAATTTACCACTATTACAGCAACAACAATAATAATAATAATAATTACATATCAATTGCTATTTGGAGAAAATTGCAAAATAATTTGTAAGTAATAATGACAATTATTAGTACTCAAGGGGTCTGACACAGACCCGAATTTTGTTCTGGAATCCTGAATTCAGTTGTGAGATTCCAAACAGGGTACTACAAAAGTGCTTAATTTGTATACCTCAGTCTATACTGGCTGAAATGATTAAAATTTTGCATTCCACTGCATTCTATTTGGATTCCAAAGAGAGAGTACTGGATTCCTGGGTGTGTTGGACCTCTTGTTAATATAAAGTCCTCTAAGAAGTCTGGTAAGCATAGGAGCTCCTTTTCCTGGTATATAGCAAGACTGCAAAAGTTGTTGCAACCATTTTCTTTGGGGGTGAATCCTACTTAGTAAAGCTACAGCATTACTAATACATGCATGTAGAAAATATTAATAACAGTCTCTTTATTTGTTATTATAGAGAATGGTTAAAAGTGTAGTACGAGGAAGCAGGAACAAAGTGTTGGTTGATGGTGCTGTGAAATATTGTAATAAGTTGTTAGTAACTTTCAGATGTGAGGAAAGGCGCAAGGTATGAAAGTTATTATCAAAAGTGAAATATTATTTTTGCTATACGTAGCTTCTCACTCCAACAGGGAAGTATTCTAATAAGGATACCAGCTCATTTGCTGAACTCCTAATGGCATACATGAAGGCAAATAAGGAGTCCTGTGGTAACTACAAAAAACATGTAGCCCTTTTGGTATGTCAATGTCATTGAAACTTCTTAAGTTTTTGTCTTGTAGAAAAAGTACATAAGAGACACTCCTAATGTTTCCCAGAAAAAGAACTTTTACCCCTCCTTCAAATTATGGGTTGCTGATAATTATGGCGGAACAGTGACAGATGAGAGCTGGGTGTCAATACTAGAAGAGGATGCAGCTACATCCCCATCTCTGCCGGCAACAAGTGAATGGGAAGAGGCTTCTGACAATTATCAAGAATTTCAAGAGAATGATCCATCTTATGAAAATGACTACTTGTGACATTATCAATAACTTAGTATCATCTATTATTATGACTTGAGTTGAGTTGTTAGTATTACTTAAGTTGAGTTTTTTCATCTTATCAGTTTGAGGCCAGTTTCTCTTGGTCTTAACAATCATCAACA